CCTATCCTGAACTAAATATATATATTAATTTCAAAACTGCAAACGGTCACTAAATTGCAAATCGCTGACACAAATTGTTAATAAATCACTCACAAGTATGAAATGTTATCACATTTATTTGGGTGATTGCTTTTTTTATGATAAAAGTGATTTACAAGAATTGCTGACTGTTATTTATCATTTTGACATAAACACAAACGTGGTTCTTGGAAGATGAATTTTGAAAATAAAGAAATTATACAATTATTATGGGTAATGTCCAAACTTTTACAATTTATCGACATTTTAGTAGTAGCTGTAACGAAATTGTTGTCTAGATTAATTCGTTATTTTTAAACCAGAAAGCAAGGAAATCCTACACAGCGTAAATGGAAGATTTCCGCCTGGGAAGCTCATTGCTATCATGGGTCCTTCGGGGGCAGGTAAAAGCACCCTTTTGGACGTACTAAGCGGTTACAGGATAACCGGAGTCGACGGAAACGTTTACACAAATGGAAATCCTAGACAACTGAATGCATTTAGAAAGATGAGCTGTTACATAACACAAGAAGATCGGTTGCAACCTTTGTTGACGGTGCAAGAAAATATGCAAGTTGCTGCCGATTTAAAATTGGGCCAATTTGTGTCTAAAAAGAGCAAGAACGAAAGGGTGAGTGTAATTATTGTTCGACAACTAATTCATCATCATCATCATCATCACAATGTTGTCAGGTCGAAGGCTGTATGGACACGCACCTCCATTGAGCCAATAGTCCCATTTCCCGGTCCTAACGATTTGCAAACAGTAATCTAATCTATGTCCTTCTCTTTGCCGCTTGAATGCTCTTGTTTCTGGTTCTTTTCCTTGTGCTTCTTTCTTTTGATCCTTTTTTATCCACGGCATTTTAATCATTAAATTGAAATGATTCACTAACTTTTTTTGTCGACGTGTCCACCGTCCACGTTCTGAATGCGTGCTCCAGCCATACATATTTGATAATTGTTGGGAAATCGAAATAATTCGTTTATGAACACAAAGTTAATATCTGTATATCAGGATGTAAGGTTGTCTGTAGCTTCTCTTTTTTGGATACAGCTACTGCTAGATACATATACATATATATAAAATCCGTAATATGCAAATTTAAGCAATATTTATCCTTAAAAGCTGTCCTGATCCTCTCTTTGATATTATAAACATAGTAAAAATTTGCGGCGGCAATGTGCGTACTTCTTTAATTTACTTTTCGACACATCGGTGCTCAAATTCCTCTTAAATAGAATAAGGAATAATGTGCCTGTGCCGTTTTATGCCTGGATATCATCCCTAATTATCTTTATTTAATTGACATGTAATTGGTACTCATTATTTATGTAGTTTTTGTTATTAGTACGGCGTTAAACATCAAGTCAATTATAAAAAAATTGCACTTATTATATGCACTTAAAAGAAAAAAACAACACTTTGCACTGTTAATGTATTAATTTAATCAATTAAATGTTTATTCATTCCATGATAGGTACAATTTACTGTACTTTGATAACGGAAAAATAAATAACGGAAAAGTAATTATTAAGAAATTTCCAATTTATCGATTTGGAATAAACGTTTCTAGTGATTTCAGGTTTTTACAAAATTCAACATCACTGTTTTCAATAATGACGAAATTAATTTTAATTTTAAAGAAAAAACGTTGAATAAATAATCAAAATTATTGACAAGTGTGGAGCACAATAGTACACGTTTCCTATTTTAGATAAAAGAAATTCTGCTGACGTTAGGATTAGAAAATACAGCAAATGTACCGACCAAGCGATTATCAGGAGGGCAAAGGAAAAGACTGTCGATAGCTTTAGAACTTATAGATAATCCTTTGATCATGTTTCTAGATGAGCCCACGACGTAAGTGCATGACTTTATAGATTTTGCATATTTTTGATTGAATGGAATACAATATTGTAAAATATTAAATTTATAAAGTTTCTTCCATCATCAACTGGATAATAATACAGATAAACCTACGCTAGAACAGTGTTATATGTAGACTATTTAATTTTTTAGGGGATTGGATAGTTCATCTTGTAGTCAGTGCATCCGTCTCCTTCAAATGTTAGCACAACAAGGAAGGACGATTATTTGTACAATTCATCAGCCAACGGCATCGCTTTTTCAGTTGTTTGATTTAGTTTACGTATTATCTCGAGGAAAATGCATTTATCAAGGTGCTGCATCTAAACTGGTTTCCTTTTTAGAATCAGTTAATTTACCTTGCCCGACTTACCACAATCCTGCAGACTACGGTGAGTATTCCCCATAAAAAATATTTGAATACCTGCTTATGTAGGTACATATTAATAAGTGTAATTAGTAATTACTGTCATTGAATTCGATATTCATTATATAATACAACCTACTTTTGCTCTGTCATTACATTTTTATTAATATAGGACATGGACTGATTTCATCTTAAAAAACCATCATCAGTTTTCCGATACACAGGTTTTTTTCTACCAAACAAATTTTGCTACAAGTTTTCATAATGTCAATATATTTATATATATCACCATCATCATAATAAGGTCGTCAGTCCTAAGACTGGTTGGATACGTACCTCCACTCTTTCCTATCCTGAACTAAATTTCGCATTTCCCTAACACTAGAACAATCCACATCCTTAACTATTTGCGAACAGTAATCTAATCTAGGTCTACCTCTACCCCTCCTAACTCCTGTATCTGCCTCTAATATGTCTCTGACTAGACCTTCATGCCTGAGAAGGTGTCTTACCAACCTATCTCGCCTATTTTTTATTGACTTCCATAGAGTCCTCTGTTCTCCTATTCTTTCTAACACCACTTTCTTTCTAACCTTTTCTACTCATGTTATCCTCGTCATTCGCCTATAACACACATTTCGAAGGCTTCTAACCTTTTCTTTTCCGCCGCGCCTACTGTTCATGTTTCGCACCCGTACAAGGCCGCTCTCCAAACATACACCTTTACAAGTCTAAATATTTCCCCTAATTTGGGATGTCACAGTGTAGTAATTAAAACAATAGAGTTCTTTAAGAGTAAAGTTGTTTTAAATAATAGACTTGCATGAGAGATTGTTGCGAATATCAATAATAATTATTAAAATTGGTTTTTGTGCTATTTGAAATGTATATGGTAAATATTTGTCACGCATGTGTAGTAAACAATTTAAAGTTTATAAACAAAAGAAGCGGTTACAGATATTGCGAAAAATTTTTCCTGTTTTGAAAATAATTGTTAAATATTTACATAATTTTTTTTAATTGGTTTTGTTTTATTTGAAAACGTAGGATAGAGATTCGATGTCTGCTAATTTTTGATTATTTTATATAATTTTTCTCTTTATTTATGCGCAGTTATAGAGCTTGCTTGTGACGAATACGGAGAAGATAAGGTTGACATATTGAACTCGGCGAGTCAAAACGGAAAAACTTTAGACTGGTTCGAAAGGCCTGAATATTTACCTAGTCTTAATAAATTAAGAGGTGAACAAGTCAAATTATACAACATATAAAAAATAAACCCTCCTAATCACTGCGCCCTTTGCTTGTAGAAAGTAACCAAAGAAGTCAAAAAACGCCCGACAATTCCGGCTCTCTACAGAGCACATCACAATGGAACCAATTGAAAGTTTTAATGGGAAGAGGATTTTTGAACTGCAAAAGAGATCTTGTATGACTAAAATTATTATTTATTATTTTAGCGAAAGCGTCAATTTTAAATAACTAATTTTGCAGACGTTGACGTACATGCGATTGGGAGTGAATGTGATCGTGGGTTTGATGTTGGGTACCCTCTACTGGCAAGCTGGTAATCATGGTGGAAAAGTTTTGGACAATTATAATCTTCTGTTTTCAATTCTTATGCATCACATGATGTCAACAATGATGCTCACAATTCTAACATGTAAGGATCTTTTATTGTTATTACATATATCGCATGCGAAAGTGCGGATCTTGGTATTGAGTTATCTATAATATGCCGCTCTCATCAATATCAGTAAGGACGGCGCACGCCCATTGAATGACTGCTGCAATTTGTGCAAAGCTGTGTACGTACGAATGCTCATTTCTACGAAGCGGCAATTGGTATAGCGAATACTTTGAGATCATACTAAGATTCACCATTCTTTCGCATACGGTATATGTAGTAAGTACAATGAATTATAAAAGTTCCAAAAGTTGAAGAGTTAGTTCTATAGGGACCATTTTTGTTTTAGTTCCTAACGAAATGTCCATTTTAATAAAGGAACATTTTAATCGATGGTACTCTCTAAAAATGTATTACACTGCTGTGACTCTCGTGGATATTCCCGTGTCGGTGGGTAGTTTTAACAGTTCTTTGTGTGACATTATTTGATTATTAATTAATTTAAAATTTTTAGGTTGTAAGTTGTTTTATTTTTACCGTGATTGTCTACTTTATGAGCGGACAACCAATGGAATTGAACAGACTTTTGATGTTTGGTGCCATCAGTATCTTGGTTGTTTTTGTTGCCCAAAGTTTTGGTTTGATGGTGGGGGCCGTTTTCAATGTTGTGAATGGTACCTTTTTTGGTCCCTGTCTCTCAGTTCCAATGATGATGTTTGCCGGTTTCGGGGTGACATTACGCGATCTACCGTCATATTTGTATTGGGGTAGTTACATATCTTATCTTCGGTACGGTTTGGAAGGGGTTGTTAGTGCAATATACGGGCAAGATAGAAAGATATTAGATTGTCCGGAGGAGGAATATTGCCACTTTAAATACCCCAGTAAATTCCTTAAGGAAATATCAATGCAAGGGGACCAATTCTGGAACGATGTCATCGCTCTCCTTATAATTTTCTTCTTTTTAAGGATCCTTGCGTACTGTTTTCTTAAATGGAAACTGAACTGTGTGAGATAGTGAAATTTAAATCAAGGATATTTATTATTTTTTACTTTACGTAACTAATAAATGAATTAATGTTTTTATAAACGTTCAGTGGATGTGATATTTTTAAACAGAAGCTATCTATTTATGTAATTTATACAAATTAAAGGTAATTTTCAATATATGATTTTTTTTTAAACTATTATCGCTTATTATTAAGAAAATTATAAATATTGGATGTTTGACTTAATAGTAATTTTCTTTAATACGTTAAAACCGAATCGAATGAAAAAAGTGTCCAGGAATAGGCAGCTGATTTTTGAAATAAAATGAAACTCAACGGTACGTATTAAATATGTTTATTACCGTATTTTATTAGTATTAGTTTATTGCTTTCCTACGTCTGTCAGTAAATGCTTGGTAAAAAACCGTCCGCACTTAATAACACTGTAAAAAGGAAGATCGATAATAAACTATATTCATTTCAATTAAAGTTATAGTTGTAGACAACTTAGTTCATAAAAATAAATACATTATCTTTTGTCGGAGTAACACGTATCAAAATTACTTAACAGATAATAATCTTTGAAGTATCTAGGGGTTTAAAACTTAATGTAGTATTTGTTTAGAAATTATGATATAGTTATAAAATAATTATCCTATTCTTTGTTTACGATACATCATTTTTTCAGAAACCCTAAGCTACATTTTCCTTTTTGATTTTTTCAATACTATAAATAATATAATTACCCCATTATCAATTAAATATAAAAAAACAGTCTATTTATTCGTTTGATCCTTGCTAGGAAAATGCTTCTTAGTCTTCTGTAATGTATTCAAATAAAATTACTGTACAATATTTTATTTACTTTGTATACTAATTATTCTGAAGTCGTTTTTGAACGACGTTACCAATGGCTCGCACGTGTGTTGGAGAAAGAGTGCTGACAACTGTTTTCCAGAACTGCTTATGTTGACATAAGTAAAGTAACAGTTTTTGAGTATGTTGCCTAGAAAATGAAGAACTGTTTTTATAAACGCCTGGTTGTTTTAGAAAATACTACGAATGGCACAGTAAACGCCATCTGTAGCACGATGTTACATTTTAGGATTACGTATGCTCCAACAAGGTCCACTTGTGTGGATATCTACTTGCTGAAAACGAATACCATCGTAGCCAACCGCAACGTGATAGGCACGTTAGCCTAATCAAATAAAATAATTCGAAGTGGTCTGTATTCGTTTTCAGCAAGTAGATATCCACACAAGTGGACCTTGTTGGAGCATACGTAATCCTAAAATGTAGCATCGTGCTACAGATGGCGTTTACTGCGCCATTCGTAGTATTTTCTAAAACGCACTGTTAAGACAGCAGGTAAAAGTTGGTCTGTGTTCTGTCGGAGCTGCCTGCGACGCGCCGCTGAGATCCAAAAAGATCGAAATCGCGGTCCGCGTCTTGTAGTTTCGACAGAATACAGACCACTTCGAATTACTTTATTTGCTTGGTTGTTTATTAGTCAAATGGAAACACTAAATTTTATTGTTAGGAAACTACTTCCCGAGCTTGATGGTCACATGATCTTGGAAAATCCATCTTTGTTCGAAGGACTACGACCATATTCTCGACCCTGTAAGAATCCTTGAGGATGTCTCCACAGTTGAAGTGATAGCTCCAATTTAGAAATCACCCAGGGAGGAGAATTTCAAGACCTGGATCGTCAAGCCCGTAAAATAGTTTCCTGACTATTTGTAGCTATATTTAGTTTCACAAAGGTTATGCCATCTTACCTTGTTTCATAATTTCCTTCTCCTAAAAAGTTAGCAGCAGTTTTCAGTAATTTGTCTCTTGTATCTTTCGGAAGTTGAAATACTTTTTCGTGTCCAAGGGTTTGAGAAATTTGATTGAGCAACCTGGCCGATTCGCAACGGACTATGGGATTGTGATGGCATACACCTTTATTCAAAATAACAGCAATCACTCGGGTGGGAGGCAGATTGCTGCACATTTTATCCAAAGCATTTTTCGCATCACTTCGAAGAAACTTGTTTGTGTCCGCAGTTCTATGGAAAAGTGCGGCAGCTAAATCATCGACTTCCTGATTTCAGAAAAGAAAATAATTATTTTTGGGCAAAGAAACTGTACGGGGCAATCCACTTACCACTTCTAAACTTTTAACCGGAAACATGAATAAGTCAGCTGTAGCGTTACATGCAGACCTAGCCACTTGTGATCTCAAACTCCGTATATGTTTTCCAAGTAAAACACAGACGGAATGAAGATGTCCATTCAATTGAAACGGACTTTCTTTTATAAGAATAGATATCGCTTTGAGTCCTTTGATTGTTGTATCCCAATCTTTGCTCTCCAGCTGAGTCATGGTCGTGCTCAGATTTTGTCGTTTTGGCAAATTGACGGATTTCTGCTTGTAAAGTTTTTTACCACGAGTTGAGCTAACAGTAGTTCTGTTCTTTATCATCTTTGATGGTCTTGTTTGCGGATCAGCTGATATACTGTTTGCATCAAGAGAATCAGGTAAAGACGACGCTATATTAGCACCATTGCAGTTTGGTAATTCAATAGGTGATTCGCTATAAACAACATGATCTTTTAAAGGAGTAAATGCCATAGCTTTAACAGTGGACGGAGCTGAGTTCGTTGTTGTTCGAACTTCCAACGGCGAACTGTATCTCAAATCAGAATCTGATTTGGACAAGTTCATGTTTTTGGAAACCATTTCGGTGGCCTTTCTTTGGTCCAACAATGATGTTTGGCTCCCCGAAGGACTGGTAATTTCAGTAATGGTACTCTGACTTGTGACAGGACTGTTGATGACGATATTCTCTGGCGTGGTGCTACCACATACTGAATTTCTGTCTGGAACATTATCACTTTCTTCACTCGATATGAGGATGGTGTCAGTGACGTCTTCTATTTTAATTTCGGTTGATTTAGGAGACGCATTAACACTTGCTACTGGCGTTGGCGTAGGTTTGTTAATGCTATTATTGCTTCTGTTGTTGCTTTCTGCGATAGACTCTGCAGATAAGTTGGATGGACTTTTTGAAGAACTTCCGCTGCTGAAGTTGTTCGGTAACGTTTCTTGCTTGCTTTCATTTTCTATTAAAAATGCCGAATTGTTGTCGCAAAATCTAGTGTTTTGTGGAATGTAATCGTCTTGATTGGAAGTGTTATAAATTTCTGGAGCCGAGTGGTTGCTCCTAAAAAGTTTTAGACATATTTGAAATTCCGTTCAAAATTCAAATGCTAAATATCCAATTATAATTAAGCAATAGTAATAACTAACGAAGAAGACTGTTATTACTTACAAAACTTCGTCGTGTAAATCTTTCTCTGGTAGGATACACGTGGAGTTATCATCAACGGGAATTATTTTTGCGTTTTTGCTCAAACATTTACAACACAAGTAATCGTTCCAAACTGTGTTTGCTGATGAGTTTTTTAATTCGCGAACAAGTTTTAATACCTTATCGGTCATGCTAATTTCAGCGATGATTTACAGTAATCCTTTGTCCACATAATACAATAACGAATCAAATTTAATGTTTTGTAGAATCCGCATGCATTATATTTGTTATTATGTGTTTATTTACGTTATTTGATCATACTTTCAAATTTTTTTTAACCCTCAACGAAGACTTTGTAATACATATGCACGTTATTAAATGAAAGAGAATTCTAATGAAAGAAATTAATGAAAAGTTTACCCCGAACGTTACCTAAAGAGTGTGTTACGAACACTTGCCGGCTTTTGATATAGAATTTGTTAGACTGACCAAAGTATATCGGGCAAATAGGTTAGTAAGGAGAAAATATTGATTATTTCTCAGAAATACATGTAGCCACAGTAAGTACTTGTTAATAGAAGCAGCAAACTTAAACTGACCGCCTTATCGACTGACTCGGACTGGACGCGTTATTTTTCCTAGGATTGTGCGACCAAAGGACTCGATAATGAAAAAAAGTTTTGCATAAGACATCACGCAAACTAAGGATCTCCATAATTACAAATACGCAACTTTAGTCCTAAGAACAATACTCGGCTGCGTCATGCCGTTTTTTTACGTCTACCTTTAATTGCTCTAGACTAATGGGGATAATAATAAATGTCCTTATTAGACGTCAACACAATGAATATATTATTCAAGTGTACCTGTAATTGTTGGAGCAAAGGTGGAAAATGGGCCAAATGAAAGTTACAAATAGTACTTGTTACTAGGAGGAACTCGAATAACTGAGAATGCCGTATATATTTCTCAGAAATTTACCCGAAGATCTTTGTTTGTTATTATCAAAAAAATTAGAAAAAGTGGCCGATTTTAGGTATCTAGGAAGTCAGATAAGTCATGACGGAAGGAGTAGTAGGGATATAAAGCAAAGGATACTGCAGGGTCGTGTCGCCTTCAATAAAAAAAGTCTCTTCTATGCTCGCGAACGGTTAATTTAGAAATTCGAAAAAGATTGTTAAAGGTGTATGTTTGGAGCACGGCATTGTACGGCTGCGAAACATGGACCGTAGGCGCGGCGGAAAAGAAAAGGTTAGAAGCGTTCGAAATGTAGTGTTACAGGAGAATGATGAGGATACCATGGATAGAGAAGGTTAGAAATGAAGAGGTATTAGAAAGAATAGGAGAACAGAGGACTCTACGGAAGTTAATAAAAAAGAGGCGAGATAGGTTGGTAGGACACCTTCTCAGGCATAGAGGTCTAGTCAGAGACATATTAGAGGCAGAAACAGAAGTTAGGAGGGGTAGAGGTAGGCCTAGGTTAGATTACTATTCGCAATAGTTTTAGGGAAATGCGAAGTTTAGCTCAGGATAGGAAAGAGTGGAGGTACGTGTCCAACCAGTCTTAGGACTGACGACCTTATATGATGATGATGGTCAAACTTGTAATTATTATTATATTGATTATTTTTATTTTTTTGCCTTTTATTGCAAGTCTAAAAATAACTCTTGTAATCTAACCACATACTTCCAAAAAAAAACTTTTATTAACACTTTAAAATCAAATGGATTAGAAGGATAGACATATATCCTCTCACTCTCCTTCTTGCCACAATAGAGTAAGCTTGCTATTACCTAGTTGTACACGAATAATACACCTTATCTTTGTTAACAATCAGAAAGAGAAAGGACGAACGTCGTCGATGGGACAAGTAAACAACATGTGCGATTCACATTTATATAGTTTTCAACTGAATTGTGACAGTGTGGAGTTGTTAATGACACAGTGGTTGCAGATTTGTGAGTGGTAAAAATTTTATTCTTTTTCAGTGTTGACTTTAATTTTTGAATAATGAAGAGATCAAAGCGGTAAACGTTCGAAAAAATAAAGATGATCTGTATAATATCGAAAGACTAATCGGGTAATCCTTAGATTTAATCAAATTTGATGAGTAGAAACTTGCAATAGTATACAATAAACTCACCTGTTTCGGTGACCAGCAACAGGTATAAGACTGATTGGACTAGCACTCGAATATCCTCTTCTTGAATTGAAAGCATTATATTGTCCTGGTCCGCGACCTCTGACTCTAAAGTTATTATCCAAAAAGTCTACATAAAAATATACATAATAAACTCGTTGCTTCACATTATTTATATAAGTATGTACTTTAGACCATCAAACTTACTGTAATTTGTCGCAACTGAATGGGAATCATATTGAATCAGTCCCTGTAAATAATTTGCGAAATTGTCAGTATTTGTTAATTGGTTCGTTATTAAGTTTGGTGATTGATTTTTGGAAAGTAATTTTTACTTTATTTTGCTATAAAGTTTGGAACTTTTAGGTAATAATTTTGCGTATCATCAGGACAAGGAACAGTAGAATCAGCGGATTCATAGTCAAAAGATAATACAAAGAAATGAAGAGTTTCCACTTCCTTGCTTTAGTGTATTATTAAATTTTGTATGTATTTTCTTTATAGTTCCTTATCAGCCGTTTTAATTATAACTCTAAAACCAAAAATTCTACAGAACATCTAAAAGAATTTCGACACATAAGTTTGAAACTCTAACTCAGTCGAGGATGAAACATCGAAGTTCGAAATGCGGTTTAGGTTTTCACGAGCTTTTGTGTGGTTTTAATGCCGTATTTTATTTAGTTCAATTTGATTTTCTCGTATCAGCGATTTTTTCTAATATCTATTTTAATAAAAAGTCAACACCGCCGACGATGATGCTTACATTGCTACTTACATTGTTTCCATAACCGTTGCGGAAATCATGATTAATTCCTTTGGGGTTCCACCGACCATTGCGTCCATAAATACCGGCGTTGTCCATTCCTGTAATTCGGTTGAAATTGTTCGTCGAGTAGTGCGAATCGGTTTCGGGAAAGATTGAAAAGCTTTTGGAAGGTTTCATATTTTCAATTACGTCGAATTTGTCGCCTTGAGCGGCTTTTCTTATCGGAATGAAGGATTTTTTATACTCTACTAAACTCGGTCTGTCGTTGCTAATACTGTTATCGTTTTCTCCAATATCCTGATAGCTGTTTGACTTCCGTATCCGAATTGGTATGCTACTTTTGGTATTATTATTTAACGAAGCGTCCTTTTTACTGTTATTTTCGGAGCTGTGGCCATCACTGTCGGGGGTTCTCATTTTTATGACTTCACCCCCGAAGCGAACTTTTCTTGGGCTTCTAGGGAAGTAATCTTTCTTTTCGTCATCGGTCGTTCCGTCTCCTACATCTGAACCTTTTCTAAATTAAAACATAGCAACAAAAATACAGTTGTTTAGTATTTCAAAGTCGATTCTTAATCTTCTAAATAAAAATTTCCGTAAAATCTCTTGTCGTTGAATTAGAAATTGATCTCAGAATTGTCCCAGCAATTCAGGATGTTGAAACATCTTAATTTTAAAATTGATATGGTGCTAATTTGGATAGTTTGATACTAAAATAGACAATTTTTGTGCTAGAGGCATCTGGAGCCAAATCTGAGTTTCTTTATTTCCTCTTAGTTTCATACAGAGCACTACCGTGGAGAATTGGAAAAGATAATCAGAAAAGGAATTCAACCATTTCTGGTGTGTTTATTTCGATGGTGAGCTCGAATTTGGCTCGAAGAAAGGTCCAACAGGTCCTCTAGTTTTAATCTCAAAGCTAAACAAGTTACTTCAGCATCAGTCTAATTTTGATACTAACATGTTGGAAAACTGGGACAATTCTGAGGCCAGATTTGGATTCAGTGATCAGGGATGAGTCGCAAGCAAATACCATCTAGGTTATATTGTCTTTTAATTTCACTCACGTACTAATGCTTACAAAAACTCAAAAATTGCATTTTTTGGGACTTAATATTAGGATTTCTTCAAATTCTGGCAAGCCAAAGCAAGATATTGAAATGATATCTGTAATATGGGTTTCCTAATGCTACCTCTAATACTGTCATTACCTAAATAATTTTCTTTTGTTGTAATTCTGATTGAGAAGTTAATTCCAGTTACCAACTTTGAACGAATCAACTTATACCCTACCTGTTATATTCTTTTTTGCTGTCTTCGCTTTCTGAGGTAGGCGATGATAATGTGTAATTTTCTTCGTGCACCTTCATTGTTATAGCATCACCGCTATCGAGTTTAATTTCCGCTTCTAATATCACATCGTCATCAACAGGTTCCTTCAACGTAACCGAGTCGTTCAGGATCCCATCAAAATCGTCATCTTCCTCGTCATCGGGCTGAAATTCCCTTATCGTTTCCGGATTTATGCCGTACACCTCGCTCAGCAAATCCAAATCCTTCTCCCTATTATCATATCCGCAAATATTCAATATGCTTCGAAACCTTTCCTTTCCTAAAACAGCCTCAGTCCTTAGAAGCGCCTTTAGGGCTACTTCCTGATACGTCACTTGCACCAGTTTATTAAATAAAGCTGTTATCACATAATAAAGGGTGTCCTGCGAAATGTGAGGGAGTATGAGATTTGGTAGCGCCATAATTATGCCGGCCACTGTGTTAGTTTTCAAGTGCGAGCCGTGCGGTTCTTTGTACATTCCGGTAAAGACGATGTTCTTGAGTGCATTGTCGGAATCGTCGCTGTGTTTGACATACATATAAAGACAATCGATGCTGCTCTTTCTAATCGAAGGAGCGCCATGGCCCAGGTTGTTTAGTACGTCTTCTAAAATTGAGTTAATATTTGTTTCAAGGACATGACGGTTCACTACTGGGATGAAGTCCTTCAGAACTCTTAGAGCATGCTGTCTCACTTCTTTCTCGGGACTGTTCAGCCTCTCTCGGATTATTTGGAAAAACGCTTCTACATCGAACTCATCTAAAAAGATGAACCTTTTGAAACCCACATTTGTTACAAAGTTTTCTCTTGTTGTGTTATTATTAATACTTCGGGGAAATTTTGTTTTAGAAGTCTTTTAAAATAGAGGAGTTATTTGAAACGTTTTTTGTATTACTTATTGTTAATAAGTTGAGAAACTACGATGAAATATGCTTTTTAATTTGTGTTAATTATTGTTTTACATTATTTAACTACAAGTACTTATTATCTATTGTTGTAGCCGCCTCGGTATATGAAAACTTTAGCAAATTGTCTGTGATAAGTACAAGACTATTTGTTTTGTTATCAAGTAATTTTTTGAGGATTTGTTTATTGCTAGGCTCTCATAATTTCATGCATTTTTTAGGAATCCAAGTTAATGAAAGGTGTAATCTTAAATTTTTGATCGATTAATTACATTGAAACGTTTTACAATCTAACTTTCCATAATCGCTATTCCAATTTCATGTTATTGATTCACTCGATAATGTTTATCATTTTATTTTTAACGCTTTGTTTGATTTGAACACGTTGTAAACATCAAACATCGATTCTTCTGAAACCTCGCATTCGTGCTTATCAGAATAACATGAATATCAAACCATGCTGGTACAATTCTCATGGATTAAAACTGAACCCCTCTCATTACACGTTTGATTAACACTTTTACGTAAAGATGTTAAAAAACATATTATTTCGCTAAGAAGTTTCACGAAATACTATTTATTTTCTGTTTAATTTTAACATTTTAAAAATCGTTCTAAATATATGAAATAAGTACTTAATAAGTAAAGTTTGTATTAATACTTAATTTTGGCGAAGGCGCCGGGAGCACACAAATTAAATTCAAGACGACGTAAATCCATAAAGAAAAGACACTTATGCGTAATTTATGTTTCTTATTATCTTCTCGAAGAGTAGTTTGAAAGGAAAGGGCTGAAATTATTTTCAGTATTATCATTTTATAATACAACTTTAGGTTCTAAAAGCATTGTTTATTGTTGTGGGTTGTACTCAAAACAAATTTAGATTATGGATGCGGTTGAAAATTTCATAAGAAACTCAGAATATATCAAGGATTTACTTTGGAATATGTTTAAGTATTCTGAATTTCATGAAAATCCAATATAATCTACATATCCAGACTTGAACTGATAATTTTTTTATATCAGTATTTTTAAAATTGAACTTTTTTAAACATTTTTTATAATAATGTGCGTATTTGTGAAAGTAAACTAAACCTGAGAGAGAAGTTTTCTTCACAATTTCGTCCCAAAACGTGGTGAGACAACGTCCTTTATCCGGGGTAGAAAGGCTGCCGACGCTCCTTTTTTCTGTAAGCAATCCATCCTGATAACTTGCGGGACTTGTCACTTTTTGCACATTTTGTATCATTGCAAAATACACCGTAACATTGTCGCACTAACCGGTTAAAAAGTCTACTAAAATATGTACATACATATTCTTTATTAAGGCCCCTTCAATTCTCATTATAATATCGATTCGGTTGCTATCAACTCTACACGTTTACGTGAATATATACATAGGTACAGGTATATGCACAACATTTCCAGGGAAAAATCGATTTCGGGGAAAAACAGCACCGTTGTTAAATTACAATGAATAAATTAAATCTGATTAGTTATATTACGTAAAACATCTGCCTATGAACGGCTACAATCGAATGACGTTATATGTGTGCTATTGAAATTTTGTAACTTTACAAATTTTATGTAAGTAGCGTTATTTTAATTAGATTATTTTGTTTTATTGTTGAGCGACTTACTTTTATTTTTGTTTTTTCAAGTCTTAAAAAGTCCTAGTCCGATGAAAAAGTTTTTGACGGTTGCTCAAGAATTTTCAAACAAATTACTGTAGAATAATGTTCTGCAGGTAGGTTTGTTGTCCATCTTTCTCCTAGTCATGGAAAAACCAGATGGAAATTGCATTTTTCGGATAAAGATTGTAGAAAAACGGCGAAAGGTGAAATGCCAGAAAGGAGTAAGAGGACTCCAATTTTGTAAATTAAAAGTAAAAAAGAATGAAGCCTTAGTATTAATAGATTGATTTACTCGAAAACTGCAAAAGTAAATGTATTTTAAAATTATCAAAATGCTCAAGTGGCACATATTTATCTGAAAATTGAAGTGAATCCAAGCCAGCCCAAATTAGAACTTAAGCGTTAGCATTTTTAAATATTTATATGCAACCAACCATGCATGTAAAACAGAAATTATCAAATGCTATTAGAATGTATGCAACCAAATATACTCCCGAATGCAAACATTTAGACCGACAACTTCTTTCCAATTGTTTTATCCATTAAGAATACCTCAAAACTGGTGACTTCTAATTAAAGACTTTGAATTAACGATAACATCCTAGATATTCAATGCAGGCTTACTACACTACTCAATATTTTAAATAAACGTTTTAATAGCATTAGTTATAATTGCAAAGCAAAAAACGGTTTCTTTTAAACCGCTTATTAAAAGAGGACGAAATTTTACAAAATAATCGCCTTTATTGTATTTAACGTATCTTTTGTAATTTTTCTGCAATCATTAAATACTAATTCCATATTATACGTCAATTTACAATTCATTGTTATGACCATTGTAGGCCTTCATCCTTTTTGATGTGCACTTTAAAAATTCAACGTGTTGGATGTTATTTTATGGATAATCAATTCTTCTTCATTGTCTATTCGGTAGATACATAGATTCATTGTTCTTAATGAAGCGTTAACAATTTTATTTAAAAAACATTTAATTTCTTTACGTTTGTAAATGTGAAACAAACTGTAAAGCAAGCACTTGTTGAACGTTTTAAAGTGCATAATACATACGTACATAATGTGTTCGTGTAGTAAAGTTGATATTTGTTGGTAACGGTTGTGTTTTATTTATCTCATAACAAAGTTACGTTGTACCTCTACTCTCCAGTGCAATTATACTACAAATATAATTATTTTTAAACAAAAAATTCAAATGCAATTTGCTTGGTGATAATGGCAGGTTAATTGGATTTTCACGCTAGATGGCAACACAAGGAACGTTATATTGATTGAATTTTCCGCGTTTCACTTAGATTATTAAACATGTTTAAACTTAATACAACATATTCAGAAAGCAAAGACAAATTTCAATTGCTTTTTTTACATAGGCACTATTTTATCATTTTAATTAATATGTACAATTGCGATAGAGATACGATTTCATAGTATCTATATTTATATCTGCATTATTTTTACTCTTTTTTACTTATTTATTCACAGTAAATATACATTTTTTATGCGAGTTGAAGTAGATTTTCAATGGTAAACAACTAATTTATGATTTTTTTTGTTGATCGGCAGTTTTGTAAGTTAAGTTTGTCTCTTTTGCTTGTAGTAGCCTTGGCATTTACTCGTCAAGAGATGTGTTTAGTTGGGTCTAATAACTTTTACGTTGACATTTAGCTGCCTAGGAATTTGAACTTTTTTATTTTTATTCCACGTTTTTATAAACAAATACAACGTCTTTCTCTTCTTTTATCTTCACGTCCTTTTGAAAAATGGACCATTTTGCTAACATTCACCTAATCACTTATTTAGTGATTGTTAGCTTCATGTATTTGCAAAGTATAATGTGGGTGAACTTTCTATATATAATTCTTTGAATTGTTGAACGTTGACGAGAAATTCTAAAGTTGGGATTGGGTTAGGTTAGGTTATTTCGAATTGAATGTCGAAATTATGTTTGTCTCTTCTACGCCTTCGTAAAGATGAGTAGCCGCAAATGGAATTCAAACAAAATTATTTGAATTTAAAAAGCTTTTTGTTTTCATTGTTGTCAATGAAAGGATTTTGACCATTGCTTCGCATCATACGATTTAGTCTTCATAACTTAAATGTGGAAATGATTGTTACATCATTTAATATCTACTAAATAAATGTTTGTGAAAGTTTGCTATGTACTGAAAATGAGTTCTCCCTTAACATTGAATCCTGCAGATATATCCGATCTGTAGTCCTTCCAGTTTCATTACTGCTTCACTTTTCAGTTTCGAGTCCTGAAATTTGGCAATTCGATTTCCCATTTCGTAAGCGACAGGAAGAGAGAACAAGGAGCAGTCTGTGATCGAACGAAGGGGCTTTACCGAAGAAAGGACACATGCGCCTGAACCAGCCTTTCGCCCTCGGTTCATTGCAATAATCGTCTCGTGCGGCTTTCTGCCATCTTTTTCCAACACGTTGCGTTAGATTGAGAAAGCAGAGCATGATTCGGTCCCTTCCAGCAAAGCGAAGAGTGGAATCCACGGACGCCAACAAAACATGGACGAGAAACAAAATCAGTACGAAAGTATCCGCAGGTAGTGACCGCCGCCGGGACAGACAGGACTTTGCTGCCTGCCTGCTGGTTACGATGCACTATTAGAATAGGTTTTCTACTATTACCTACTATCGTTAGACTGACGTGAAAACTCGTGTAAATGTGCTGACNCCTATATATCGATTGCCAACAGCTCACCATTAGATGTGATAGTAAATTTACTTTCATTTTCTGAGCGACTGGATCATCAGAATCGCGATTTGATGTTAAGTCATTTTACCTTTTATCACAAAGAATTCTCCTAAGAAGAGAGAGTCAACAGAAAACTACTCTATTATATCTCTTATTGAGACGGATGCCCATGTATGGAACGTCCTAAATTCTCAAATCTACAAACATTACATTCTAAAATTCATTGTTATTGTTCCTATAAAGAAAAAGTTTTTTAGACATTTGTAGGAAGGAATCTAGTTTATTACTGGAGTTAACACACTGTGAATTTTAATTACGGACAAATAATAAATTTTAGTTTCTGAGACGTGTGCGGCATAGTTTACGTGGATTACTTTCCTTAAATTTAGTATAATAATGTTAAAAGTTCTTCTTGCATCATTTAGGAGAAAACTGTAAAGATAAATCGTTTTTTGAAATCGGTTGAAAGGCAATAATGACCTGCGTCCAGATTGTTTCTAAAGTTCTAAGTACGATGAAAACTGTTTTTTAAAATTTCTATTCAAGCTAATAGATATATTAACTTCAATTAAAAAGTAACAAAGAAAAACAATTGCTGTTGTAAAAGTTAAAAATCGAAGGACGTTGTAACTCTATTAGATTTACTGTGCGGCTTTTAAGACATTTCAAGGAGGACAACATAAACTGTCGTTTACACTTATGTTAAGGTGCATATTGCGTGAGTTAATTTTTATGTGTGTACATTCATACACTATGGTTATCTTACCATTGTTTTGTGCATAATGGTAGTAATATAATAACATTATTAATAATTATTATTAAGCTGATAACATAATCATATGTAAATTAATTAATTAATTGAACGAAGAACAGTTTTAGAACACTTAAAAAACAATTTCTAGTGTCGTAGTGAAACCCTCAGTGAATACTAAATACTAGATAGTAATAACGGGTGGTTTGATATCATTTTATCGGTTTTGCACCACGCAATAGACAATAAAAAATTAAGAACAAAAGTTCTTTATTGTATCGTTTTTACGCAATTTAGATTAGAGTATATTGGTTCATCTGACCAAACCAATGTGCGCAACTAGTAGGCCAGCGCAGTGGCCGCACAGAACACCCACATAGTGGTGCATAGGCCAAGTGCGTACCTTGTGTGTCCTTAGGCCAAGAGCGTACCCCTGTGTGTCCTTAGGCCAAGAGCGTACCCCTGTGTGTCCTTAGGCCAAGTGCGTACCCTGTGTGCCCTTGGGCCAAGTGCGTACCTTGTGTGTCCTTAGGCCAAGTGCGTACCCCTGTGTGTCCTTAGGCCAAGTGCGTACCCTTGTGTGTTCTTAGGCCAAATACGTACCTTGTGTGTCCTTAGGCCAAGTGTGTACCCCTGTGTGTCCTTAGGCCAAGTGCGTACCCTGTGTGTCTTTAGGCCAAGTGCGGCTGGTGGCTGGCGAATCGAGCACTTCAAATAGTCCGATAAACTAATTTTGTAATTCAAGTTGTGCCGAATATTTACGTTGTCGTGAAAAAAGACAAAGGAATATTCGACTTGAATCTTCCATCCTTATTTTCTCACGGTGTAGAGCTCATGTGACCATTACAGGACACCCTGCATAATTATAGAGATAAAGATGCGTAAAAATATCGCTTATTTCTTTGAGAAGATGGAAGTACGTTTGTCGCTTGCCTCATCATCGACATCTCTTGTTCAAGTTTTGTTATAGGAATATTATGATAGGAAATTAATTATTGTAATTAGGCAGAAAAAGAATAGATACACAGAGGCAAAAGATTTTTACGCTTAGATAACTTCCCTTTGATCTATATTAATAAATTTGAAAAAGAATTCTATAAGAAAGGGTTAGAAATGAGTAGGAGAACAGAGGCAACTTTGGATGAGATAGGTTGGTAGGACACCTTCTCAGGCATAAAGGGCTACTTAGAGACATATTAGAAGCAGAAACAGGAGCTAAAAGGAGTAGAGGTAAACCTAGATTAGTTTACTTTCATAAATAGTTAAGAATGTGAAGTGCTATACATTTAGGGAAATGCGAAGATTAGGATTAGATTAAGACCAGGATAGGAAAAAGTGGAGGTGCATGTCCANAGTTTGAAAGGAAAGGGCTGAAATTATTTTCAGTATTATCATTTTATAATACAACTTTAGGTTCTAAAAGCATTGTTTATTGTTGTGGGTTGTACTCAAAACAAATTTAGATTATGGATGCGGTTGAAAATTTCATAAGAAACTCAGAATATATCAAGGATTTACTTTGGAATATGTTTAAGTATTCTGAATTTCATGAAAATCCAATATAATCTACATATCCAGACTTGAACTGATAATTTTTTTATATCAGTATTTTTAAAATTGAACTTTTTTAAACATTTTTTATAATAATGTGCGTATTTGTGAAAGTAAACTAAACCTGAGAGAGAAGTTTTCTTCACAATTTCGTCCCAAAACGTGGTGAGACAACGTCCTTTATCCGGGGTAGAAAGGCTGCCGACGCTCCTTTTTTCTGTAAGCAATCCATCCTGATAACTTGCGGGACTTGTCACTTTTTGCACATTTTGTATCATTGCAAAATACACCGTAACATTGTCGCACTAACCGGTTAAAAAGTCTACTAAAATATGTACATACATATTCTTTATTAAGGCCCCTTCAATTCTCATTATAATATCGATTCGGTTGCTATCAACTCTACACGTTTACGTGAATATATACATAGGTACAGGTATATGCACAACATTTCCAGGGAAAAATCGATTTCGGGGAAAAACAGCACCGTTGTTAAATTACAATGAATAAATTAAATCTGATTAGTTATATTACGTAAAACATCTGCCTATGAACGGCTACAATCGAATGACGTTATATGTGTGCTATTGAAATTTTGTAACTTTACAAATTTTATGTAAGTAGCGTTATTTTAATTAGATTATTTTGTTTTATTGTTGAGCGACTTACTTTTATTTTTGTTTTTTCAAGTCTTAAAAAGTCCTAGTCCGATGAAAAAGTTTTTGACGGTTGCTCAAGAATTTTCAAACAAATTACTGTAGAATAATGTTCTGCAGGTAGGTTTGTTGTCCATCTTTCTCCTAGTCATGGAAAAACCAGATGGAAATTGCATTTTTCGGATAAAGATTGTAGAAAAACGGCGAAAGGTGAAATGCCAGAAAGGAGTAAGAGGACTCCAATTTTGTAAATTAAAAGTAAAAAAGAATGAAGCCTTAGTATTAATAGATTGATTTACTCGAAAACTGCAAAAGTAAATGTATTTTAAAATTATCAAAATGCTCAAGTGGCACATATTTATCTGAAAATTGAAGTGAATCCAAGCCAGCCCAAATTAGAACTTAAGCGTTAGCATTTTTAAATATTTATATGCAACCAACCATGCATGTAAAACAGAAATTATCAAATGCTATTAGAATGTATGCAACCAAATATACTCCCGAATGCAAACATTTAGACCGACAACTTCTTTCCAATTGTTTTATCCATTAAGAATACCTCAAAACTGGTGACTTCTAATTAAAGACTTTGAATTAACGATAACATCCTAGATATTCAATGCAGGCTTACTACACTACTCAATATTTTAAATAAACGTTTTAATAGCATTAGTTATAATTGCAAAGCAAAAAACGGTTTCTTTTAAACCGCTTATTAAAAGAGGACGAAATTTTACAAAATAATCGCCTTTATTGTATTTAACGTATCTTTTGTAATTTTTCTGCAATCATTAAATACTAATTCCATATTATACGTCAATTTACAATTCATTGTTATGACCATTGTAGGCCTTCATCCTTTTTGATGTGCACTTTAAAAATTCAACGTGTTGGATGTTATTTTATGGATAATCAATTCTTCTTCATTGTCTATTCGGTAGATACATAGATTCATTGTTCTTAATGAAGCGTTAACAATTTTATTTAAAAAACATTTAATTTCTTTACGTTTGTAAATGTGAAACAAACTGTAAAGCAAGCACTTGTTGAACGTTTTAAAGTGCATAATACATACGTACATAATGTGTTCGTGTAGTAAAGTTGATATTTGTTGGTAACGGTTGTGTTTTATTTATCTCATAACAAAGTTACGTTGTACCTCTACTCTCCAGTGCAATTATACTACAAATATAATTATTTTTAAACAAAAAATTCAAATGCAATTTGCTTGGTGATAATGGCAGGTTAATTGGATTTTCACGCTAGATGGCAACACAAGGAACGTTATATTGATTGAATTTTCCGCGTTTCACTTAGATTATTAAACATGTTTAAACTTAATACAACATATTCAGAAAGCAAAGACAAATTTCAATTGCTTTTTTTACATAGGCACTATTTTATCATTTTAATTAATATGTACAATTGCGATAGAGATACGATTTCATAGTATCTATATTTATATCTGCATTATTTTTACTCTTTTTTACTTATTTATTCACAGTAAATATACATTTTTTATGCGAGTTGAAGTAGATTTTCAATGGTAAACAACTAATTTATGATTTTTTTTGTTGATCGGCAGTTTTGTAAGTTAAGTTTGTCTCTTTTGCTTGTAGTAGCCTTGGCATTTACTCGTCAAGAGATGTGTTTAGTTGGGTCTAATAACTTTTACGTTGACATTTAGCTGCCTAGGAATTTGAACTTTTTTATTTTTATTCCACGTTTTTATAAACAAATACAACGTCTTTCTCTTCTTTTATCTTCACGTCCTTTTGAAAAATGGACCATTTTGCTAACATTCACCTAATCACTTATTTAGTGATTGTTAGCTTCATGTATTTGCAAAGTATAATGTGGGTGAACTTTCTATATATAATTCTTTGAATTGTTGAACGTTGACGAGAAATTCTAAAGTTGGGATTGGGTTAGGTTAGGTTATTTCGAATTGAATGTCGAAATTATGTTTGTCTCTTCTACGCCTTCGTAAAGATGAGTAGCCGCAAATGGAATTCAAACAAAATTATTTGAATTTAAAAAGCTTTTTGTTTTCATTGTTGTCAATGAAAGGATTTTGACCATTGCTTCGCATCATACGATTTAGTCTTCATAACTTAAATGTGGAAATGATTGTTACATCATTTAATATCTACTAAATAAATGTTTGTGAAAGTTTGCTATGTACTGAAAATGAGTTCTCCCTTAACATTGAATCCTGCAGATATATCCGATCTGTAGTCCTTCCAGTTTCATTACTGCTTCACTTTTCAGTTTCGAGTCCTGAAATTTGGCAATTCGATTTCCCATTTCGTAAGCGACAGGAAGAGAGAACAAGGAGCAGTCTGTGATCGAACGAAGGGGCTTTACCGAAGAAAGGACACATGCGCCTGAACCAGCCTTTCGCCCTCGGTTCATTGCAATAATCGTCTCGTGCGGCTTTCTGCCATCTTTTTCCAACACGTTGCGTTAGATTGAGAAAGCAGAGCATGATTCGGTCCCTTCCAGCAAAGCGAAGAGTGGAATCCACGGACGCCAACAAAACATGGACGAGAAACAAAATCAGTACGAAAGTATCCGCAGGTAGTGACCGCCGCCGGGACAGACAGGACTTTGCTGCCTGCCTGCTGGTTACGATGCACTATTAGAATAGGTTTTCTACTATTACCTACTATCGTTAGACTGACGTGAAAACTCGTGTAAATGTGCTGACCGACGTGTGTGCATGTGTGTGTGAGAGTGAGACTGTAAACTATTTTCTTTTTCCATTTTTTAATTGTTAAATTTTCGTGAATGAATGACTTGATACTGCCAGGACTATGCGTCGAAATCTCAAAATCCTCAGCCTTTTCTCGACGGCGTGGATGCTTGCTATCGTTTTTTACTTCCAATCTTCAGGGAACTCTAAGGTTTGAAAATAACGATCTTCAGGTTTATTATTTACTTTAAAACAGACGATCAGGGTAGTTTGTTTCTCATTTTTTTGAATTGAACGAATCAGCTGAGCCTGAAAAGGCAACGATTATTCACACGTCTATGTACAGAAACCAATCAATATCAACCCCACAAAGGGTGGCGTTTCAGTTTCAGAACATTACAATTTGATTACGAATATACAAAAGAAATGCTCTTTCATCTCTAAACTTTACGCGATAATTTATCTAGAATAGATACAAAATATTAAATATACATAAATACACACATAAGTACGTTATTTTTAAAAAATTTTTACTTAATGCCAAAATAGATACAAATTACTTCCATTTTAAATAAGTTAATCTTTACTATTTAATATTATTTAACAGCAGCAGGATCTTTCGTAATGAGAATTTAAATTTGTACCTATTCACAAATATTTCGTGATCAGATAAAGTTGCTAAACTGTTTTAGATCTTACTATTTTTAATCATGCTCTGGACTGGATTGCTATTAAATCAAATCATCCATAAATATAGCAACAATTTTTTATGGTTTCTGATATGCCAGACGTTTTAATTGGCAAAGAAATAAAATATAAAAAGAAGTATATTGATATATATTAATTCTGTTGTAGTAAATGTTTTGTTCAATTCTATAACATCGGAGCAGAAGGAATTTTGGTCGCAGTCACTTGATTAAATGAATACTTTTCCTTGAAATTACGGATACAGATTACCTGCTAGAAGTTATTATTATATCATCAAGAATCACACGCTGCCATCCACTTTCTATTCTTAATTTGTGTAGCGCCGGAATATTTCTTTATATTACACGATATACACTCTGTCAAGGTTTATCTATTCTTGTTATACACACGTATGCAAGTATATGTAGATTAAGTTTTTTGATGGAGATTTTTTTTTTTCGTGAACCTTGAACTAAAAAGTTTCAGGAGGTTCTATGAATAAACAAATACTTACCTACGACGAAGTAGTAAAAGATATTAAATATTATTAGTTTGGAATTTTTAAATGAAATTCTGCGTGATGTCCTAAATACGTGTAAGAGATCATTGACGACCACATAAAAGTAATTTTTTCTGTCCTTTGGGAAGAGTATTTTTTTTTCAGGATAAATGGTATCTCATGTCCTTTTCTGCACCCATAATAATGTGTGTATAAAATTTTCTTATAGATTTTACCCCGCAGCTTCGCTCGCCTTGATGTCCTAAATACTTGTCAAAGATCATCGACGACCACATAAAACTTATTTGTCTATCCCTCGGGAACAGTACTTTTTTTTTTGGATAAAAGGTACGCTATGTCTTTTTCTGTACCCTTGACAATGTATGTACAGAATTTTATTACAGATTTTACCAGCAGCTTTGCTAACGTTGATGTCCTAATTACATGTCAAAGATCATCGACGACCACATAAAACTAATTTTTCTATCCTTCGGGAACGGTACTTTTTTTCTGGATAAAAGGTACTCTATGTCCTCTTCTGTATCCCTGACAATGTCTGTACAAAATATAATGATGATCGCTTGAGTAGTTAAGGCCTGAAATGGTAACAAAAATATTTTCCCCAGTCCTATCACATTTCTTCATAATCCCAAGAACTTTTTTTGAGATAATGGTTGATTATTGATAAATATTTATAAAGAGGGATCTCCAGAAGCAAATGGCTTAGTGTAAAATGATCTTTACTCAGAATTAATATGGTGTTGGGTATTCCCTCTTTTAGAATATGCAATTTTGATATAAACATAGAGGATTCAGTTAAGAAAGTTGATGAGCACGTAAATTACACACAGCATGTTATCTAACCGTTGCAAAAGTGGTCACATTATATTGTAATAGTAATAGTAGGCCATTTCATGCATACCTTACATAATAAATATAAATGTATATAGTACCTATATACCTACGTTCGGTCTTGAAAGTGCGTTACAGTAAACGAATAATGAAAGGCAAAGATGAGAGGCAAAAGTCCAAAAAATAAAAGTAGTTCTAATCATCTTCACGTCGTGGTAGTGCTATTTTCCCTTTCACCATCGCTTAAGACGTACCTATGTATCTAAAACCTGGAACAATTCTGCACGATGAGGAAGTAGGAGAGTAAATTAGATATTAAATTAATATTCGTCCATTATGTTTGCCTTGTGACCAACTGATTAACATTTTATAAGCACATAATTCATGTAAATAATCTACATAGGTGGCTAATAAACGCTTTTACTGTAATGGACTTAAGCGAATTCATGGGAACACTATCAATAAGGAGAAGAAATTAAAAACATATTAAACATGTTATACCTACAGGCACACGCAAAATTATTTCCTTTCCATGTACAACTCATTAGTGAACTTATAATTACAGCCAAGACATTATAAGTTCAATGCTCTAGCGGATATTAACAGTGTATCTTTTATTTGAGGATTTTCACAAATTATTTATTTATGAAGTTAACGGATTTGGGATCCCTAATCGATGCATCAACATCAGTGTACTTAAAGCAAGATCAGGTTTGATTAGGAAAAAAATGCTACTTTTGCTATCTTCGCAAACTTTTCAAAATGGTGCAAGACAACTATATTGTCATAGTCTTTTTGACATTTACCTTGATTTTGTTTTAATAGCATTAGCAATAGTATTTGAAACATTAAATTAAATTATTTTCTGCATTCAAAATTTTATGTTCTGATGATATGATGGCAACTGTAACAAACGAAATATGAAACACCGGAAGTGAGAGCCTACTGAGATAATAATCATTGTTTTCGCGTGAATAAAAGGTACCGTTACTCCAGTATTTCTGTTGTTACATTATTATGTGAAATGTGGAGTAGCAAAAATTATTCGGCTTCTCTTCAACCGAAATACCTAACTAAAAATGTACAGGGTGATCGGGAAACTCTTCGAATACAGTAACCATCAGTTACGAGTCCATAGAACATAACCTCATTGAAATCACATAATTAGTTGAGATATTAAAAAAAAAAACAAATGAAATTGCTCCAACACTCTTTATTTGACTCTCTTTTTCTTATATTAAACATCTATGTTAAATATTACACAGTTTGAATTATAGTTTAGAATCTTTAAAAATGGTAACCTTTAGTTAGGCTTTTAATATGATGAAGGCAAATGCTTATTTTAGATTGTTGTTGACTCTCCTATTTCCAATAAGTAAAATTAAAGAACGAATAAATAAACACTCAATAACAAGTTGGGTTTTTTGTAAAATTGTGGTTATTGCTTATTTATTCTTAGCATCCAGGTATACTTTTAAAAAAGATAATCTTGAAAACTATAATTTATTTTGTACCCATGTGGAATACTAAAATGGTAAAAGATTATTTGATAATCCTTTCTAGGAAAGTAATATAATAATAATCTCTGTCATTATGGTCACCTTTGTAAGACAGCCTTCTCTCTCAACGGCCAGGTTTTGGTCAGTTTCTTGGAATGGGTTTTGTGAAAATTTCTGTAATAAAATGAGTTCGTTTTCATATCAGGAGTCTATTCCTCAGAAGTTACAATTTTCAGGAAAAGTTGTGACGCTTTTATTGAATAAAATAATTCGAAGTGGTCTGTATTCTGTCGAATCTGCCAGACGCGGATCGCGATTTCGATCTTTTTGGATCTCATCAGCGCGTCGCAGGCAGCTTCGATAGAACACAGAGCAACTTTTACCTGCAGTCTTAACAGTGCGTTTTAGAAAATACTACAAATGGCGCAGTAAACGTCATCTGTAGCACGATGCTACATTTTAGGATTACGTATGCTCCAACAAGGTCTACTTGTGTGGATATCTACTTGCTGAAAACAAATCCCGGCGTAGCCAACCTCAACGTGATAGGCATGTTAGCTTAATCGAATAAAATAATTCGAAGTGGTCTGTATTCTGTCGAAACTGCCAGACGCGGATCGCGA